AGGATGTTCCAGGTACTCAGGAGGCTGAGGCAGGGGATTGTATAGCCCAGACTACACAGTCTGTTTCAATAACAACAGGCAATGGTTAATTTTTACATTACATAGGTTTTAACACTTTTTTTTTTTTAAAGATTTTATTTATTATGTATACAACATTCTGCTTCTTCCATGTACACCAGAAGAGGGCACCAGATCTCATAACTGATGGTTGTGAGCCACAATGTGGTTGCTGGGAATTGAAATCAGGACCTCTGGAAGAGCAGTCAGTGCTCTTAACCTCTGAGCCATCTCTCCAGCCCCCAGTTTTAACACTTTTAAAAAAGACTTATTTATAGAGAAGGTCTTAATTTGTTGGCCTGGAACTAATGATGTAGCTTGGTTGGCCTGGGCTGAATGAAACTCATGGCAATGCCACTTAGTCAGCTTCCCAAGTGCTGGGGTCACAGCCATGTGCTACCATGTCTGGCTTAAAAATGATCTTTAAGGGCTGAAGAGATGGCTCAGGGGTTAGGAGCACTGGCTGCTCTTCCAGAGGTCCTGAGTTCAATTCCTAACAACCACAGGGTGGTTCACAACCATCTATAATGAGATCTGGTGCCCTCTTCTGGCCTGCAGGCATACATGCAGGCAGAACACTATACGCAGAATAAATAAATATTAAAAAAAAAAAATCTTTAAAATGAATTTTCCAGGGCTGGAGATGTTCAGTTAGTAGAGTGCTGGCCTAGTATGCAGGAATCCCTGGGCTCAGTTCCTAGTACCATGTAAACAAGGCGTGGTGGCAAAGAAGTAAAATTCTAGCACCTGGGAGGCAGAGGTGGGAGAAGCAGAAGTTCATGTTCATCTTTGGTTCTGTGGTAAGTTCAAGGCCAATCTGGGATACATGGGATGCCTCAAAAAACCAAACCAAACCAAACCTAAACCAACCAAACAAAAAACCCAACAAACAGGAAAAACAAAACCAAGATAAAAAACAAAACTAAGATAAAACAAACAAACAAAAAATCCCAACAAAAACAGCTCCCCTCTGTTATGGGCAGAGAGAATTTTTCAGAATAGTTTTCACTCAAGTTTCCTGCTCCCTAGTTCTGACATACTTGCTATAAAATGTTGAGCGCAGGGGTACAGCTTAGTGGTGGAGCACACGCCTCCAGCACTTGAGGCTCTACTTTCAATCGACAATGTTTAAAAACTTGAGAATGTTATGTTCCTGTTAATCCTTTATGTCCAGAGCATCTGTTTTCCTTCTAAGGAAAATGGTGAGTGGCATCTGAGATGGTGGCTGCTGTTTCCTCACTATATATACAGCAGTGACGTGTGCTTGTCAGAGAATCGGAGCTTGGTTTTAGTTCCACCATATGTCCATTTATAGGTTGCACTAGTCAACACTGACATGGGATAATGAAATAGCAAGGCTATTGTTATCATTAGGCTATTATAAATGCAAACTCATTAATGATCTTTTTAATTTTCCTTTTTTTTTTTTTTTTTTTTGGAAACAGGCTCTCACTGTGTAGCCCTGGCTGTCCTGGAATTTGCTATGTAGTCTAGGTGGCCTCAAACTCAGAGCTCTGCCTGCTTCTCAGTGCTGGTATCAAAGGCGTGGCCACCAAGCCCAGCTCATTAATGATATTCTTAATTTTGCTCTTAGGTTACTTTCCGAATTGTACACATCAGGTACCAACCTTTCATGTGAGATTTATAACTTCTCCTTTGCACTGCACTGGCTTGTCAGTGTTCCTTTAAAGATTGATGGACGAAGTCCAAATGTCTATCCGGACTCCCAGTGGGATTCAAATGAAGCATATAGCCAGACCACTCAGCCTCTTCCCCAGAGAGAAGCTCTGGCTTTACTCCCCCCAGTTCAGAGAAGAACCCCCAGAGAACTGTTTATTTTTCTCAACTATGATTTTAAACTCTGATCTTTTCAACTTCCACCCTGATAATGTTCTATTTAGTTGCTAATGCTTTGTATTTTGTATTTTGAGATCAGCTGCCGTTTCGGACAGAGCTCTAAGTGGCGGCCAGCTAGCTTCAAAGGCTAGCCACAGTGACTCCAAAACTGAAGGTCATCAAAGGAACTTTTCTTTCATCCTATTTTCTTCCCAGTTCTCAGAACTACTATAGCTCCATATACAAAACAGTTGGGGTGGAAAAACAGCTTGAAACCAGCACAAGGTTAACTTTAAAAAAGCCATTTTCTGCTGAGATGCAGAGACACATCTGCAAGATGTCTGGTTCTAAAGATTTGCTTAAAGACTTTTTTTGGTTTCTTCTTTTGTTGGTGCTGGTGGTGGAAGCCAGGGCCTGTGAATGTTCCACCCTGAGCTACACCTTCAGTCTCTAGTTTTGAATGCCATTAAGGGGGTAAACAGGAGTTAAGCTAACAACCCTAGATTGTAAATGCTAAGTATAGGGGTTAACTAAGTAATTAGTGTAACTCTTAAGTAGCCACTCATTTAAGTATGTTCACAGAGTGCTTATACAGTTCCACTGACTTCCTAAAGGTCATCCAAGTTTTGGAGCAATGGCTTCTTGATGTGCAGCTGTGCATGAGGGCAAGCTAGCACGGTGAAAGGACTGACTATGGGGGTTGAAGAGCTGGGTCAGAGGTTTTTAAAAGTGCTTGCAGCTCCTGCAGAGGACTGCAGTTAGGTTCCCAGTACCATGTTTGGTAGCTCACATTCCCCTGCAACTCCAGCTGTGGGGCAATCTGCTGGCTGCCTTCTTCTAGCCTCCTGCTCAAGAGTGTCTGTCTGTCTGTCTGTCTGTCTGTCTGTCTGTCTGTCTGTCTCTCTCTCTCTCTCTCTCTCTCTCTCTCTCTCTCACACACACACACACACACACACACAGGCACGCAAATAAAAATAAATCTTTAAACAAGAACTGACTATAACAAACTGCCTGCCTAGGTCTGTATCCTGGCTTTGCTATCTGCTGTGTGACTGGACAAACTGACTTTTTTATTCCTTAGATGCCTCACCTGTAAAATGGAATCAATACAAGTGCCTACCTTGTTAGTGTGTTATGAAGATGAAATTAATGTAGGCAAAGCAACTAGAACAGCTTCAGGCTTAGGAAAAACTACATCTTAGACAAAACACAAATCAGTAATAGGTATTGGCACTTTTTTTTTTTTTTTTTTTTTTTTAAGGCTCTTGCTTTGTAGCCCAGACTGTCCTTCAGTTCCAGATCCCGCTGGGCTGGCCTACTGAGTGTTGGAATTACAGGTATGCACCATTACACTCAGTTTTCCCTATGCACAGCCCAGTTTTTCATTCTTATTAAGTTCTAACACAGGAAAAGTTCAAATTCTCTTTGACATAGCTATGTTAAAACTCCTGGAAGGGAAGGGTCTGTCTGCTCAGGAGGCTGACAATGTTATCTTTTATGCACTTCACACATTCTACCCTCGGTCAGCATGTTCCCATGCTCACTTTGTTTATATCTTATTAAGAATCCTGGAGTGGGGATGGGAACATGGCTCAGTGGATGAATTGCTTGCACTGGGCAAGTTGGGAATCCCTTGAACTTACTTAAAAGCTTCCCAGATGGGGTAGCTGCCTGCCATCCCAGCACTTGGGAGTTAAAGATAAGCAATTCCCAATAGCAACATGGTTAGCTAGATTAGTGGGAATGGACACATACATGCTGGCTTCAGGGAAGCTATGAAAGCTATGTAGGAAGACATCAGATATCAGTTAAGTCTCCAGATGCACAGGTGCGCACACACATGTAAAAATCTAGCCTGTGATCCTGGGTCTGGAGATATTATAGTTCAGGGGCAGAGTGTCTGCTTACTATGTGTGAGGCTGTGAAAAGAATCCTGTCACTTGGAGAGCAGAACACAAATCACCTTTGTATCCTTGAGGCATCCCATAAAAAAACAAAAAACAAAATAAAACAAAACCCTTATCACAATGTTTCCTGGATGAAGGAGTGACTTATAAATAATAGAACAAGAGCTGGCAGTTCAGTAGACTGCAGGGGACAGATATGATTGGAGTCATGAAGGTCGGTCCATCCTGTTTTGTTTTTTTCTCACTGGGTGGAGTATGCAACTTTGCCTCCCAGGAGGCTGCTAGGCCCATAAGAGGCACTCTGTAAAATTTTGCTTAAATGCTGATGACTGAGTATCCAGGAACTTCAATGTATGAGAAGATGGGGCTGCTGACAGCGGGAAACGCTCATAGGAAAAGTAATGATCTTTGTGGGACACAATGTGGCTTGGTTAAATACTTACTTTGTGTACGACAGAGATGACCTTACACTCATAAATTACCCTCTGCTTATTTTCTTAAAAACAAACCAAAAGGGATCCTTCTTAAAAATTAAATCTCAGAATAAACCAGACGCTTAAGTCGATTCGGATCCAGTACAAAGGCTAATTATGACAACCGTTGGGTTCTACCAACAAATCATTCCAGTGTGTTCCACCTAAACAGATGGGTCACCACCCCAATCAAATAGCTGCAGCAACTCTAAGGGTGGAACGAAGAAGGAACAGGGCCGGGTCGGGGAGGAGTCAGCGCACTCGTCATGGCTACGCCACCTCCACCCAAGGTACTCGCTTCCCACCCAGCAACTCGGGAGGAAGCGAGAGGCTTGCGGCCGTCCCACTGCGCAGGCGCCCGCCCTCCGCGCGCACGCTCAGTTCGAGGCGCTCGCCTTTGCACAAGCCCGGTGCGGGAGCGTCTCCCGGGTCTCTTGCCACCCTCTCTGTTAGTCCTGGCAGGTAGGATCGTCGGGCTCAACTCCCCACCGAAGGTTCTGGAAGCCTTGGCTACTTACCCGAGTAGTTTGTGCACTCTGCCTGGCAGCCCCGCCCCCTGGACCAAGCGGCGCGACTTCGTCTCACGACGACGTAGACGCGGCGTGCGCGTGCCCGCCCGCGCTGTGCGAGTCTTATGGCGGCGTGCGCCCGCCCCTGCGGCGGTGGGGGTTAGAGGGCGGCGCTATCGCGCATGCGTGGCGAGGGCGGGGCCGGAGCACTTACGGGGAGCACTTCCGGGCCTCCCGCACCCTTTCAGCTTCCGCGAGGGCTGCTGTTGCAAGTGTTTTCTGGTTCCTTCCTCCTGGCATAGGGGTTCTTTGTTTACTTTTATGATTATTGAGGACTTCAGCTTCTCCCGCGATAATTACACGAAGGCGCATATATATATTTATATATCCCTCTCCCAACCTCCATGACCCAGGGCTAGTCCTGGGTTTCCGTCCTTGTGCGCAGTCTCTCTGCCTGGAGCTGCCCAGGAAAGGTAGATGAGTATGCACCTCAGCCACCCCATGCTCAGGGCCCAAACGTTACCTTTTAAAGGCTGCTGTGGTACAGAGCTTGTGTTTTGAAGTGGGGGGGGGGGATGCTGAAGGAATAGCACACCGGGGGGGTCTTGTCATATGACTGCTGGTAATTGCATCCTCTCGTCAACGCTGACTTTCTCGGTTCTCCAAATCACAAACCCTCTCTCTTGGTTCTGTGCATGCGGCTACCCATTAGTGACTCGGCAGATGGCTGGACCAAGCATTTATGCCGAAGGGATTGTTATGTTTTCTTTGGCACTTTTAAGTACATGGGCTTGGAAGACCCAGCCATCTGTGATGGGAGCATGGGTTAGAGACTTCACCCACCGCTAGTTCATAAGGAGCCTTTGTTTCATAGCTATGTGATGCACAGATTGTTGGGCAGTGACCTCCAGAAACTGTTCCTTCTCACTGATGTGTTGGTCTAAGAATTACGTTAAGTGGTATTTTAGTACTTTGATAGGGAAATTAGATCTGGTTGTTAGTGCCTTTAAAAGTACTTACAACTCTTCCGTGGATGTTGTATGAATGATTCCTCATTGTATTTTTATATTGGATAGAAAGAACGAAGCACTTTGCCCGTGGTTAGGTAAATATCAAGACCGCACCCCCTTTAGGTTAATCAAATACCTATGTTCTCTCAAAGTCACTACTAATGCCTCTTATTGGAGGGCTGGTAAACAGATTACAAGTTGCTGTCTAGAGTGAGTCAGGAGGCTTAATAGGATGGTGGAAAATGCAATCTTTGCCTTTTAAAAGTTTATATACAATGGCAGGCCAGTGAAAATGACACTATTTTTGCTTAGGATGTGCTATGAACACAGTTATTTCCATTTGGGCTACATACTGGTCCACATGCAAGTTTTTTTTAATCTATTTTTTATTTTTAATAAAAATTTTAATCTATTTTTAATCTATTTCATTTATTTATTTTGTCTGTTTGTATGCTTCCTGGCTGCATGTGTAGTTCAGAAGACAACCTGGTAGGAGTCAGTTTTCTCCTTCTACCATATGGGGTCGTCAGCCCTGGGAACAAGTGCCGTTACCGATTGAGCCATCTTACTGACCTAAGTTTTTATTTCTAATTTAAAAAGAAGGTAAAAGGATGATTTGTTTTTCAGGACTTTACTAGAATATCATTTGGAGAAAGTGTCATGGATGTTCTGCGCCCACAGCTTATAACAATCGATGGTCGGAATTATAGGAAGAATCCCATCCAGGAAAATTATCCACATGAAGATGATGAGGGTTTCTATCAAGGTAATCCTAGTTGCTCTTAGGCCAGATGAGAAGTAAAATGTTCTTTGTACCACAGGGGCAATCCTTTGTTTCTTGCTCTCCAGTTGCTCTGACAAAGCTGCTTTCAAACAAGGCATTCTTGGTTGCATTTTATATGTCAAGATATATTTCATCTTGTACAGAGGCTTAAATGGCCATGAGGAGTAATTTTATTCATTTTTTAATTTTCCCAGTCAGGGTTTCTCTGTGTAGCCCTGGCTCTCCTGGAACTCACTCTGTAGACCAGGATGGCCTCAAACTCACAGATTCACCTGCCTCTGCCTCTGCCTCCCGAGTGCTAGGATTAAAGGTGGGGCCCAGCACCTCCCAGCTCATTGTTACTATTATTATATTTTAAATTTATTTAACTTTATCTTATGTACATTGTTGTGAAGGTGTCAGATCCACTGAAACCAGAGTTACAGACAGTTTTAAATTGCCATGAGGGTGTTGGGGTTTGTACCCAGGTCCTCTGGAAGAGCAGTCAGGACTCTGAACCGATAAGCCATCTCTCCAGCCCCCTCATCATTATTTTTAAGGGGGTGTGTGTGTGTGTGTTGGTGTAGGTGTGATCATGGATGCCCAAAGAAGTCTGAAGAAGGTGTTGGCTCTCCTGGAGCTGGAGTTACAGGCGGTTATAAGCCACCCTGTGTGGGTGCTGGGAACTGAACTCAGGTCATCTGAGCAGTAAGGGCTCCTAACTGCAGAGCCCCCAGGTGAAGTAAGTGCAGTTAGTTATTACTATTAACTTACAATGTTCTATGCCAAAATTAAGCCCCTTTACTTGTGAAATTGTAAAAGAATATGAATTATTTATTTGTTTATTTTTGAGACAGGGTTTCTCTGTGTCCCCCTGGCTGACCTGGAACTCACTCTGTAGACTGAGAGATCCATCTCCCTCTGCCTCCTTAGTGCTGAGATTAAAGGCATGCACTAACCAGAATTTTTTTTTTTTTTTTTTGACTCTGAGTCTCTCTATTATGTTACTCTGCTTATCCTGGAACTTACTGTTAGGCCAGGCTGGCCTTGTGCTAATAGAGATCCTCCTGAGTGCTGGGATTAAAGGTGTTCATCACCTTGTCTGGCTAAGAAAATGAGTTACTGAAATAAACATGTAAGGTATTTTGTTCAGTGTCAGGTAATATTAACTGTTGCTACTATGGCATGTTTTCTTTCTTCTTTGTAGTCATGCATTGACAGTTCCAGAGACACAACTAACTTTATTTTAACATATGGTAATTTTGTATATGATAAACTAAATAGTTGAGGTGGGTTATAAATATTTTCAGGGTAATGACCATATGGTTAGATTTAGCCCACAATCAGGGACTTTTGGGTTCTTTGCAGCTTTCCCTTTTTGGTTCCTCAGGATTTCCACTGGATCTTAATTTTGAGAGATCACTTTCCCCTACTGTATGCTGTCAACCTTGAGCCCCTTTATTTTTCCTTTATTTTTCACTGTTTTTCTTTGTGTGTGTCTCTCTCCTCACTATGTAGCTCAGGCTAGTTCTCTTCCTGCCTCAGCCTCCCAAATATTGGAACTCCTCTAGGCATATGTCACTGTGCCTGGCCTCTCTTTTTCCTCTTTTGAGGTTTAAAGGAACAAATTCTCCTAGTATCATTCTTATTTATTAATAATTCATTGAAATAAAACTGACTTCTAGACTTTAAGAGGGTGAGTTCATATTGTGTGAACTTCATTTCAATAGAATAATAGTAAAACATGTTGTTTCGGGGCTGGAGAGATGGCTCAGAGGGTAAGAGCACTGACTGCTCTTCCAGAGGTCCTGAGTTCAATTCCCAGCAACCACATGGTGACTCACCACAATCGTTATGAGATCTGGTGCCCTCTTCTGGTGTGCAGATGGAAGCAGAATGTTGTATACATAATAAATAAATAAAATCTTTAAAAAAAAAACACAAACACACACACAAAGAAAAACATGTTGTTTAGGCATCTTAACTTTCTAAAAGAAAACATCTAAATATTGGCATGTATATACTGCTTTCCCAGGGTTCCGAGACTGAAGGATTTAAAATAACCATCATGTTCTTTTTATTCTTTATTTCTCCTATGAGCAGACGAGGTGTGTGTGTGGGGTGGTGGTGGTGGTGGTGGGGGTGGTGGTGGTACTAAAACTAAAGCAGTAGATAAGCTGCTCTTTGCACTTGTTCTTGTCTCCTTAAACCCTGAGAGTGATTGACAGCTGGAAGGAGGCTTTTTTTCCATTGAGCAGCAGCATTCAGAGTTGTTATGGTTTCTTTGCAGACTCCATGGAATATTCTGATGAGCCCTGTGATGCCTATGAGGTGGAGCAGACCCCTCAAGGATTCCGGACCACTGTCAATGCCCCTAGCCTGCTCTACAAGTGAGTGAGTTCCCCATCAGCTTCATGGGATAATAGCACTTCCAGGAAACCCAGCAGGGAGCCAACCCTTCAGCCTTTCAAGCTTACTGTGAGGCTTGATTGCTAATGATAGAAGAGTTTAGTATTTTGTGTCCTGAAATGTCAAAGGACTGATTACAGATTAATGTAATCATCCTGTGTTCATTGCCATATCCTGTTGACTCACTTTTAAATGTCCCCTGAATCTACTGTTTATCTTTACTGCTGCCTCTTTCTTTTCTATATGGCTTTCTTTTTTAAAAAATATGTATTAAATATGTCTGTGTGAATATTTACCTGTATGTATGTACACTACCTGTGTGCCTGGTGCCCAAGGAGGACAGAGGGATTTGCTGAATCTTCTGGAACTGGAGTTAACAGGGAGTTGTGAGCCGCATGGTGTGGACACTCGAAACCAAACCTGGGTCCCCTGCAAGAGCAGCAAGTGCTCTTAATCACTGAGCGTCTCTTCAGTCTCTCTGTGGATTTCTTAAGATAGCTCCAACAGTCTCTCCACATTCCTACTCTCTTCTTAGCCCTTCACATAGGAGATGGAATGATTTAAAAACAATTTTTTTGGGATTTGTTTTCATACGAGTTGTTTTGCCTGCATGTGTATCTGGACACCTGTGGTATGCAGTACCTGTGGAGGCCAGAAGAGGTCGCTGTATTCCCTGGAACTGTAGTTACTAGCCTCCCTGTGAATGCTAGAAATCTAAGCGAGGTCCTCTGGAAGAGCAGTGCTTTTATCCACTGAGCCCATCTCTCCAGCTCCCCACCCTCCCTTCAATTTTTTTTTTTTTTCCTTTTTTGAGACATGGTCATGCTTTTAGTTAAGGCTGACATGGAACTCTTGAGATCTTGATCCTCCTGCCTCAGACTTCCATTTACTGAGATTACAGATATGCATCACCTCATCAGACTTGGAATGATCTTTTTAAAAGGGAAATCTGATTATTTTACCACTTCTGCTTAAAATCCACCTGTGTGGGCTTGTGAGATGTCTCAGCAGGTAAAGGCACTTACCATGCAAGCCTGGCAATCTGAGTTTCATCCTGGGAACCTTTGTAGAGGTGGAAGGTGGGAACAGACTAAGGGTTTCTCCGATCTCCGTGCAATGTGCTGTGGCAGGCATGCCCACATATGCACTTATGCATACACATACACATTAGTAATACATTTAAAAAACTCTGTCCGTGGTTTTCCACTAGAGATGGAATTGTGGTTCATTAAAGCAATGGCCAAAATTGTGAATATGCCTTAGCTGATTCTGCTTTTTGTTTGTTTTGTTTCTTTGCTTTCTTTTTGCTTTAGGTCTTTCTTTGCCTTAAGGTTAGAAGACCCACCTGGTATTTTCAGTTCCTCATATGTGCTGTGGTTTTTTCCAGCTTTTGAGTTCATGTGTGTGCTGTGTCCTTTGCCTCAGTCTTTCCTCTTCTTTACCTGGTTATATTCTCCCTCCCAGAGAAGCTTGCTTTGATCCCAGCCATCCCTCCAATCACTGATTATCCTACTGTATGCTTTTTGATAATAATGCCTCTGCTTGAGGTTTGTAGTGTTTATCATATTCTGTGTTGGTATTCATCCGTGTGCTGCTTGCTGTCCCCTCCACAGATTGGACGCTTCTGGAAGGCAGGGGTTTGTCTGATCATTAATCCTTAGAACCTATCAAGACTGCTGTGCCTTTTCAAGGATCACTGTTGTGAATTGCTTATATACGTTGTGGTCACTTCAGCATGTGTTTGTGTGCGTGCTCTCATGGTCTCCTCTACATTAACCACTAGTAGAATGTTGTCAGAAGCTAACTGGCTTCTTTTGGGCTTGCCTGGGAAGATCATCTGGTCTAAAAAGTCATCAGTCCTTGCTGGTTTTCTGTTATACTGGATGAGTTAGGTCCACTCAGGGAATAGAGCTACAAATACGGAATCAAATGTATTTGAACTCTAATAGTTTCATCCTGGAGAATATTCTGAAATACCTGCGGCGGATAAAATTCTCCTTGAATGCAGCCACATGGGAAACCAAAGCTAAACCCTGATGGCTCACTCACTTTCTTCCTAGGCTCTGATGACAGTCTCTCCTAGGAGTCATGATTTCTGAGTGACATGACTCAGCTTCCTGAAAAAAAACGTAACGAGTGTAATATGTCTTATTGTACATAGGTCCTACTGCTGAGGTGTGTGAAAATTCCTTGGATGTCTAATTCTGATGATGGCCTTTTGCATTCTGTAGACTCTTAAGTTCTTGTGTGCCTGATGAGCATCTGGATGATTAGATTAGATGTTGGACCCACCAAGTCCTAATTAGTAGATAACATTCACTGAGAAGATTCTCCCAGAATCCCCACACTTTTCTTTCTTTCTTTCCTTTCTTCTTCCCCTGGACTGGAACTTGCAGTCTGCCTGCTTCAGTCTCCCAACTGCTAAGATTACAGGTGTGTGCCACATGACTGCTGGGAGATTTCTTGCTTAATTTCTATGGGCTTATTTGGGTCAAGGTTTTGCAGTGCTTGGGATGAAACCCAGGGCCTCTTTTCACATTGTGGGATAAGTGTGGTACTCCTGAGCTGTAACCCCAGCTGAACATCTCATTTTTGAAAAAAAAAAAAACAAAACTGGCCTATTACAGTATTAGTTGAAATAATTAGGCTTTGTTATTCCATGTAAAGACAGCTGACTGGGGGTCACGAGCTAGCTGAAGCCGTCAAGTATATATAAAGTCTCAGGTTCAGTTCCCAAATGCTTCTCTAAAAGAATAGTTTTAGACATAGTTACCTGTGGTATTAGGTGTGTAATTGAAATTGTAGAAGTTGAAATAATGTTAATGAACAGGGAGGTCTTTCCATTAACTTTACCATCCTGTGATAGTCTCTCAGTGCTTTATAGACTCTGAAACTTCTCTCCTGGGATCCAGTAGTCTCATTCGTGTTAGCACTTCTAATACTGTGGGTTCCGGAAGATAACCTTAGCTTGTCAGGATTGTTTACACTATAGGCCCAGGCAAAGAACATAACCGATTTAGTAGTAAATGGCTGAAGTGGGGTAGATTTCAGCTGGGGGGAATGGTAGGGATTGTGATGGGTTTGACCTATTTGCAGGGGGAGGTTGAAAGTTGTTTCCACTCTGGTTGCTGTGAGTCATCAGATTGCCAGTATTTCAGAACCTGTACATGCACAAACATATACAGTATATGATATGTATAGCAATGATATATTATTATAATATATATTATATCTATGTTGAAATCTCCCAAACAAAACACGGAGTATGTGCTGTACTTAATTCAGGGTTACATGTTTACTTTCTATTCTCATTTTTTCTTCCTATTTCTCATTCTCTCTTCTCTCCTTCTCCTCCCCCTTCTTCCCCCCCCCCCCCCCCCCCCTCCCCCCCCCCCCCCCATCCCAGTATCCCAGGCTAGTCTTGAACTACTGATCTTCCTGCCTCAGCCTCCTGAATGCTGATTCTAGATCTCACCAAACATGGCTCTTTTTGTGCTCTATAGGCTGTCTGAATGGTAACTCCTGATCTCTTTCAAAGCTCTTTACTCTTTGTGGTGGTTTGAATGAGAATGGTCCCCTTAGGCTCATATATTTGAATGTCTGGTTCCCAGATGGTGGACTATTTAGGAAGGATTAGGAGATATGGTTGTGTTTGAGGAGATGCTTCCCTGGGATTGGGTTTTGAGATTTCAAAAGCCCACACCAGGCATCTCACTTGTGCTCTTTCTGGTGTTTGTAGATAAGATGTGAGCCCTCAGCCACTGCTGACAGTGCCCTGCCTGCCTGCCTGCTGCTGTGCGTCTTCTGTTTACACACTGACTCAGTAATGGCATCATTTGCCTGTGAGTGAAGAGAGCATGTTCTATAAAGCTTAGTGACTTATAATTTTCTCTACTAACACTTTACTGAAGTGTTTTTCTATAAGGGAGTGTCTCTGGACATATGAAACTTAAACTTTTTTTTTTTTTTTCATATTATAGGCACATAGTTGGAAAGAGAGGGGATACCAAGAAGAAAATAGAAATGGAGACTAAAACATCTATTAGCATTCCTAAACCTGGACAAGAAGGAGAAATTGGTGAGCTTTAGACATACTTTACATTTACACTAATTTCTTTTTATTTATTACAGATGTGCAGAAACACACCCAACCTTCAAATTTTTAACATTATATTTATTTAGTGTGTGTGTGTGTGTGTGTCCGTGTGTGGGTACATAGTGCCATGACACATTTATGGAGGTCAAAGGACAATGTACAGGTGATGGGGGAAATGCTTCTGTGTATGTGTTTGTCTTATTGGATGATAAACTACTGTTTGGCCAATGAGGCAGCAAGTTAGGTGGGACTAGGAGTCAAAGAGGATTCTGGGAAATGTAGTAAAGAGGGTTAGTTGGTTCTCTCCTTCCAGTATGTGGGTTCTGGAGGCTGAACTTAGGTTGTCAGGCTTGACAACAGTAAGTGTCTTTATCCATTGAGCCATCTCACTGATCACTCCCTAATCGCCTCTCTTTTTAGACAGGGTGTCATGTAACCTTGACTGGCCTTAAATTCACTATGTAGCTGAGGCTGGCCTTGCACTCCTGATCCTTGTCTCTATCTCCTAAGTGCTTGGATTTCAGGCCCTTGTTACCTACCACACCTGGCTAAAAGAGAGAAGGAGGAAAGAGAAGAGAGAGAGAGGGAGGGAGAGGAGAGAGAGAGAGGAGAGAGAGAGAGAGAGGAGAGAAGAGTGTACATGTTCCTCTGTGTGTGTGTGTGTGTGTGTGTGTGTGTGTTGCTCACGTGTTCCTGAGGGTCTGCATGCATCTCTGCATGTGGAAGCCAGAGGTTGATATCAAGTATCTTTCTTTTTCAGTTGATCCCCATCTTAATTTTTTTTTCTTTTTTTTTTTTTTTTTTTGGCTTTTTGAGACAGGGTTTCTCTGTGGCTTTGGAGGCTGTCCTGGAACTAGCTCTTGTAGACCAGGCTGGTCTCAAACTCACAGAGATCCACCTGCCTCTGCCTCCCGAGTGTTGGGATTAAAGGCATGCACCACCAACGCCCAGCTACATCTTTGATTTTTATCTGTTTGTTTATGTTAGAGGTAGGGTCTCTCACTGATGGTGAAACTACTGATTTGGCTAGACTGCCTGGCCAGTGAACCCCAGGATCTCCTTGTCTCCATCTCCCAAGCCCTGGAGTCACAGAAGTGCTCCCTACACCCAAGTTTTGTTTGGATCCTAGGGATCCAAACTCAGGTCTTAGTGCTTGTGCTGCAAGCGCTTTACTGACCATGCCACTTCCCCAGCCCTAAATACTTTATCTTCAGATTTATTCTGTTTACACTGAATTCACCAGCGGTTTCCTTCGCCTTGGTGCTGTTTGATATACCCAGGATCAGAGCCCTTTCAGATCCCTGGAGACAATAGTGTCAGACGGCGTCCACCTGTCAAGCACTTGTGGGTTTTTGAACCTGTTAATGTTTTTCTCCCTTTGCTTCCAGTGATCACTGGTCAGCATCGAAATGGCGTAATTTCAGCCCGAACACGGATTGATGTTCTTATGGACACCTTTAGAAGGAAGCAGCCCTTCACTCACTTCCTGTCCTTTTTCCTCAATGAAGTTGAAGTTCAGGAGAGATTTCTGAAGTTCCAGGAGGAAGTTCTGGAGAAGTGCTCCATGGTGAGTAGAAAACAAAATCAATTTTTTTTTTTTAAAGTAAGAAATGGTTTATGACTCAAACAGGAAAATAGATACTTTTCTGCCCATAGGTTTTCATATCAGATATGGAGCATCTCTCTTTAAAAATGTATTTAGCTGGGCGTTGGTGGCTCACGCCTTTAATCCCAGCACTTGGGAGGCAGAGACAGGCAGATCTCTGTGAGTTCGAGGCCAGCCTGGTCTCCAGAGCGAGTGCCAGGATAGGCTCCAAAGCAATACAGAGAAACCCTGTCTCGAAAAAAAACCCAAAAATAAGAAAAAAATATTTATTTATATTTATTTATTTATTTGTTTTGTGTGTGTGAATGTGTGCAGGGCACACCTGCCCATGTGGAGGTCAGAGATTGATGGTAGGTGTTTCCATTCTCTTCTCTCTCTACCTTCTATTTTGAGGCATGGTCTCTCATTGAACCTAGAGCCTGCCATTTGGCAGTGCTGGCTGCTGAGCTAGCCCTTGGGATCCTCCTGTCTCTGCACCGCCCAACCCCCGTCTTCCCCCTTACCCTTGCTGAAGAGACAGATATCTGCCACAGCATTTGACTTTTATTTATTTATTTAAATTTTATTTGTTTTTATTTTATGTGCGTTGGCATTTTGCCTGCAGGTATGTGCGTGTGAGAGTGTCAGATCTTGGAGTTACAGACAGCTGTTAGCTGTCCTGTGGTGCTGGGATTTGAACCAGGGTCCTTTGGGAGAGCAGTCAGTGCCCTTCACCGCTGAGCCATCTTGCCAGCCCCAGCACCTGGCTTTTATGTGGGTGCTGGGAATCTGAAATCGGGCCCTCTTGCTTGTGCAGCAGGAACTTGACCTACTGAACCATTTCCCCGGCCCCAATTGTTTTAATTTTCAATTATTTTATGTATACATGAGTTTGCCTACATGTGTAGTCTATGTGCCATGTGTTGCCTGGTGTCTGAGGAGGCCAGAAAAGGACATTGGATCTTCTGGGATTAGAGTTGCTACGTAGCTGACTTTGAACTTTGGCTCCTCCTGCCAGTATTTCCTAAGTGCTGGAATTACCATGCCTGCATAGAAGGCCATTCCTGCATGCCTTTTGGGTGGCAGAAGAAGGAAGTACCATTACCTGCTGGTCTTCTGCCTCCAGTCAGTTGTGGCTCCTTTGGGATTAGTAGTACGATAAAGACAAATTGGTATATAGAATTGGAGGGCCAGAGAGATGGCTCAAAGGTTAAAAGCACTTACTGAGGTTCAGTTCCCAGCATCCACATGGCAGCTCAGAACTGCCTAGAACTCCAGTTCCAGGGTCTGCAGTGTCCTCTCCTGGCTTCTGTGGACTTTTGCTGTGTTGCCCAGACCCGGCTATTCTGAAACTCATGGGCACAATCAGTGCATGTGTGTGTGTGTGTGTGTATCTGTGTGTGTCTGTGTGTGTGTGTCTGTGTGTGTGTGTGTATCTGTGTGTGTCTGTGTGTTTGAGTCTTCATGTATTTATCCAAATTATCTTTAAGAAATTTATGTACTTCAAAGTAAAATTTTCTTTAGGCTTCTTTCCCTGCTTTTGCCAATACTAGATGTCCTTCTGTGTTGCTTTTGTCATAGGAAGGGACAAAAGAGGCAGAGGTTTCATTTTCAGGCTCTTCATTTGCAAAGTGTGTTCCAAAGGAAACCTAGGTCACATGATGGAGTGGATGCTTTTCAGGAAGGGCTTTGTTAGGCTGTGGTATTTTCAAGTCACATGTCTTTTGAGCACTTGTTCTGTGTATAGGTCATGTTTTAAACAGCCATTTCACAGCAAGGTGCAGGCACAGTGTGAGAAGTTTAAAAAGATACGGAATGTGGTCCATACACCAGATGGTGCCGCCTAACACGTATAGCATTAATCCTCTCAACCGAGTTTGCTGAAAAGTCTCCCAGAGGCTGGGGAGGGACAAGGTGGGGGGAAGGCATTTGCTGCCCAGCCTGACAAAGTTGAGGTCAAATATTGGGGTTATATGGTGGAAGGAGACAACTGACTAGTGCAAGCTGTCCTCTGTCCTCCACATGTGTGCTGTGGCATGGGAACCAGTACATGCATGTACGCACACACTACAGGGGAGGAGAGAATAGGAATGGATCATGCTTGACCCACCAGGACCATACCCCCTAAAGAAAACTGACTGGCTCTCCTTCCTCTGGCCTCCATCAACAGTTAGTAACCCCAGCTTCCTGTCTGCTGGAATGTTTCTTGCTTTGACCTTTTGCAGATTTTTTTTTTTGCAGGCAACCATAGCTGCTGTGAGCTAATGGCTGTATTAGATATTCATGTACAGAGATGCTGTTTGCCTCTGAACCTTCGTCTCTTTTCTGTTTAGCGATTTATCTATTTTAATTTTATGTGTATGAGTGTTTTGCCTGTATGTAAGTACACCATGTGTGTAGTGCCTACAGAGACCAGAAGAGGAGGATGGATCTCCTGGAACTGGAGTTATTGGAGGTCATTAGCCACCATATGGGTGCTTGGAACTGAACCTGAATCCTCTGTAAGAGCAGCCAGTGCTTTTCATTGCTGAGCCATCTTTCCAGCCCTGGACCTTTAGCCCTTCGAATCCTTCTCCTCTTTTTCTTTCTGTTTCCTGAGCCTGAGAGATTTTTTTTTTTAATTGTCTGTTTTTGTTTTTGTTTTTCAAGACAGGGCTTCTCTGTGTAGCTCTGGCTGTCCTGGAAATTGATTTGTAGACCAGGCTGGCCTCAAACTCACAGAGATCTGCCTGCCCCTGCCTCCTAAGTGCTGAGATTAAAGATGTGCTCCACCACCACCCAGCATAGTTTTTTCTTTTTCTTTTGTTCTTGAGAGATTTTTCAGTGTAGATGATCTACTTAAAAGTTTGAAGTTTAAGGGCTGGAGAGATGGCGCATAGGTTAAGAGCACTGACTGCTCTTCTAGAGATCCTGAGTTCAATTCTCAGCAACCACTTGGTGGCTCACAACCATCTGCGATGAGATCTTGTGCCCCCCTTCTGGTCTTCAGGTATACATGCAGACTGAATACTGTATACATAATAAATAAATCTTAAAAAAAAAAAAACTTAAAACAAAAAGTTTGAAGTTTAAAAAAAATCTCTACTTAGTTTTCCCGGATGGAGGGTTAAAAATTAAAATTATATTTAGAATTATCTTACAGTGAAATTAGCTTTGGATTCTAATTTGTATAGATTCTAACAGGTGCATAGATTTCTGTGACTGTCATCCCTATTCAAATCTAGAGCAGGCTCATGGCCACAGGCAGCCCTTTCAGAGCTGAGTTTCCCATCCTAGTGGTATTCATTGTTGTCTTCCTGAGAATGCCATGCTCATGGAACCATACTGATAGGCTGTTGACAAAGGCCTCTTTCTCTTAGGGTAACGCTTGAGCTTCATCTGTGCTGTGTGTATCTGTAGTCCACTCCTCATTCTTCCTGCGTTGGGTTCTCCTTCTGGATGCACTACAGTTTTGCTTATTCATCCATTTGTTACTGGACATCATTTGGACTTTTCCAACTTCTGATAATTATGAATAGAATTGCTATGAACAGTTATGCGGAGTTTTTTTATATAAACATAAGCTTTCATTTCCTTGCAGTAAATAATAGCCAGGAGTGAGGTTTCTAGTATCTGTCGTAGGTATATGTTTAACTTTATAAAAATATTACCAGTGCTGGTGAGATGGCTCAGTGGGTAAGAGAGTTTGCTGTGCAAGCCCAACAGCCTTGGTTTGGTTCCTGGAACCCGTGTAAGTTGGGAGGAGAAAACTGAGTTTACAAAGTTGTCTTTTCACCTCTACATGAGTGTTGTGGCATGCACACATACCCCTTACCTCCCACTCACACACACCTATACACACACACACACACACACACACACACACGCTCTCACACACACCTCACCACACACACCTACATACCTACCACGCATACACACACATACACACACATACAGACCTCACTACACACATACAACCCACCACACTCACACACACCTCACCACACACACCTACATACATACCACATACATACACACACACACCTCATCACACACACACACACCTCACCACACACACCTACATACCTACCACATACATACACACACACACCTCATCACACTCACACACACACACCACACACACCTACATACCACATACACTCTCACACACATACTTGCTTGTTTTTCATCCTGGATGCTAGTCCTTTCAAGAATGTATGGTTTGCAAATATTTTCTCACAATATGTAGTTTGTCTTTTAATTCTCTTACCAGCTATTTTTTGTGGAATAAATATGTTACATTTTGATGGTCTAGTTTATAATTTTTTGTATTGTAGATCTGATGTCACAACTAACAACTTTTTGCATATATAGCCATAAAATGTGAAACTTCACTTATGCCTTCTTTCAGATTTTGTATGGTTTTGTTTGTTTTGCTTTTTTATTTTTAGGTATTTACTTCAGTTAATCTTTGTATAAAGTGTGAAGCTGGGCTGTGGCCGTGGCTGTGGCTAGGTACTAAGTGTTTGCCTTGTAAGGTGCAAGACCCTGATTTTCATTTTTGTTGCCAACCCAATCCCCTAAATGAAGGCAAGTTAGTTTTTTTTTTTTTAAAGACTTATTTATATTTATTTTATGTGTAGGTCTGTGTACCATGTTCATGAAGTGCCTGTGGAGGCCAGAAGAGGGCTTCAGATTCCATAGAAGTGGAGTTAATGAGCCATCCTGGGGGGGCTGGGAACCAAACCTGGCTACCCTGCAAGAGTACCCAGGGCTCCTAATCATTGAGACCTCTCCAGTCTCTTCCCTTTTGTATATGAATGTCCATGCCATGTTTTCTTAATTCTGTAACGAAGAGAGTAATAAAGACAGTTGGGCTCGTTGGTGGTGGCATATCCTAGCATTTGGAAGGCAGAGGCAGGTGGATCTCAGTGAGTTCGAGGCCAGCCTGGTCCACAAAGTGAGTTCCAGGACAGCCAGAGATGTTGCACAGAGAATCCTTT